GGGACCCGGCCGCAGAGGGGCTGGCCCGCCACTTTCCGGGAAGGTAGCGGCAGTCTCTGCCCTCAGAGATGCGCGGAAGTTGGTCTGCAGGGAGGAGGAAAACGGACGCCGTGGGCCGTGGCCTTTCCGAAACGGGCAAGGCCAGGCTCACAGCTGGGTTTGAGCCTCCTGGGATGGTGTGTGGGTGAGGATGTGTGCTTGGAGCATCTTTATTGAACTTTATAACTTAATACACTAAAATGTCCAGACCTTCTGTGTTCAGCTCCGTTAAGTTTTCTGTATCAACACCGCTGTAACCACCACCCAGATCCACAAATAGAACTTGCCAATACCCCCAAAAGTTCCTTCGTGTTCATTCTCAGTCTACCTTCCCTTACCGAACCCCTTTTCCCCAAGACTCAGGTAACCGTGATATTCTATTTTTTTGTGTGTTTGTTTGTGTGTTTGTTATTTCCTACTACAGATTCGTTTTGCCTGTTCTTGAACTTGATATATTTGAAATAATACAGAATAATCTCATTTGTGTCAGGCTTCTTTCACTCAGCACATTGCATTTGAGCTTCATTCTGTTGTGCCCAATACAGCTGTGATGAACATTCTGGTAATGTTCACCACATAAATGTCCACCACATTTTTTGGTGGACATAGCTCATTTCTTTGGGGTAAATACCAATGAGTGGATTTGCTGGGTCACAAGGTGAGCATATTTTTACTTCTATTAGAAGCTGTCAAATAGTTATTCAAGTGACATATTATGTTTCACTCCTTCGGGTTGTTTTTTAAATGAAGACAGGCCCAAACAGGGCTCCCATGATGAGATATGCTGTCAGTGATCCTTTGAGCAGAGTGTCCCTGTAGCCAAACTTTAACTTCATTTGGAGATAACATAAGAAAAAATTTCTTCTATGAGATTATTGGATGCCAGTGCTGTCCTCCCATCAAAAGACTGTCATCACTGTGGCAGTCTTCATAATTCTAGAATGTGGAGATACTCATGTCATTTCTGCTCTGACATGTTGCCCAGGCAATTCCTGTGAACACTCAGGTTTGAGAATCAATCATTGCCCAAGTTGAGACATTACACTATTTTCTCAACTTTTGTGTCCATTTGTTAATTTTCATGACCAAAAAAACGAAATTGCCTCCAATATCTGTTTTCTCCTGAGACAGCAGTCACAGCGCCTGGTACCTGCGTTTCTTTCTCTTTAAAAAAAAAAACGATAATTGCACCTCAGGGCTGCTGCGACAATGCAACAGACTGAAGACATTCTGTCACATTTCCAGCTTTGTGCCCCCAAGCATGAAGTTGGCATTGCAGATCATTTTTCATGTAGATTTACATTTTTACTCCTGTACTTGTCCCAGTCTTCCAAACCCAGAGTGGAGATGACAGTCTGTCGAAGTGAAGGCTTCAGGAAAGCAGAAAAAACTAAGCACTGGATAATTTCTCCTCCTCCTAGGGGCCTTCATCCAATTCTCTAGGAATCTTTTAAATCGGTGATTTTCAGTGTATGCTCCCCAGACCAGAAGGACCTTGGAACTTGTGGGAAATGCAAATTCTTGGGCCCCACTTAGAGCTGCTGAATCAGAAACTTTGGGGGTGAGGCTCAGCAATCTGCATTTTGACAAGCCATCCCCCCACCTCCCACACGATTCAGATGCATGCTGGAGTCTGAAAAGCCCTGTTATTTCCTGAGCCCATTAGAGTTGAGTCTTTGCTCGGTTTCTCTGACTGCTGTTGGTCAGTGTGCCACCTGCCCAGATAGGAAATAATCACTGGTGGTGGCCACTCTGTGTTGATCACTGTATCTTGATCACTTAAGAGCTTGAGCAAGATGCTTGGGAGTACAAGGGCCACGTGCTGGCCTGGTGTTCAAGAAAAGGCCCCAGAGATCAGACCTGATGCCAAGTGCCCTGAGATGTCTACACTGGTGTGATGTCTTCTTGAAGGGCTGCCTCCTTGGGGGAGCAAGGACTTGGGCAAAGGACTCCATAGCCTCCTTTAAAGATTTCATACTCTAAGAGGGACCAAGCCAGATGTGTGATCTCTAAGTAGCATATGAGAATTTAAGAATTTCCTAGTTCTTCTCTGTCCATCTACCCTGAGGAGGTATAGGTTCCTAGTCTTGATAGTTCCAAGGTTTCATAGTGGTCCCCAAACTTTTTGGCACCAGGGATTGGTGCTTCTATCAGAATCTAATGCCTAATGATCTGAGGTGGAGCTGAGGTGGTGATGCTGATGCTGGGGGGCAGCTACAAATACAGACGAAGCTTTGCTCACTTGCCTGCCACTCACTTCCTGCTGTGTGGCCTGGTTCCTAACAGGCCATGGACTGATACTGATCTGCGGCAGGGGGTTAGAGACCCCTGAATTAGACTGTCACTGTCTGACCACAGCTCATTTACACCAGTGTGATTATGATGATGTATCTGGTGATGTATCTGGTCAGATATAATAAAAAATAACAAAATGAGAGTCCACTTTGGTTGCAAGTGACAGAAACTAAACTCAAGCAAAAAGAATTCCTTAGCTTGTGTAATTGTGGTATACAGACATTTAACCTATTTCAGACATGGTTGGATCTAGGTGCTCAAATGGAGCGGTCAGGATCTCTGTCTGTTGTTTCACACTGATTCCTCATCTGTAAAGAGGAACAATAATAGAACTGACCCTTCGGGCAACTATGAGACATAAATGGGATAATTTTGTGCCTCAAAGTATTTGGCACATAGTAATATATGTTACCTTTAAAAAAATCATTATTCCTTATGTCTTTATGTATTTGCACAAGAAGGCTTCACTAGCTGGAGGCTGAGGTACCCCCAGTGAGGAGCTGTTTTCATAACCATAAGCATCAATGACCATTTCTAAGGGTGAAAGAAAAGACGTTAGATGTTTAAGAGAATTTCAGGCAGTCTGAGTAATTGAAAGAGCTTCACCCTCTGGTGGATTGTCATTTAGCAGACTGATACTGATGTTCACCCCATTGGACAGAGAAGAACTAGGAAATTCTTGAATTCTCATTGGAATTCTCATTGGAAAGGAGAGAAATCCTGGTGTTGACCAATGAGAGCATGGTGACATTTGATGGATCAGGCAATGAAGCCTGGCCTTAGACAGCTTTGTCTCATTTTCTGATTACTTCCTGTGTGTTTACCATGTCTCCTCAAGCAGACTGTAGGCTCCCTGAGACGATGTGCTTTGTGAATACTCTTTAGTGCTGTACCTTGCCAATGAGTTGCTTACCCATGCTTTGGGGCTGTACATCTAGTAGGCGTGGGGCAAGGGGAGGGCTCCTAATTCCTGAAGCAGTGGGAGAGGGGTCTGCATAAAGATCCTGGTTTTGTTTGCTTGAACTTTTGAATAAGGAGATGGGACTCTGGCTGCTGGTATGCCCACAAGTGAGGTTGCCTGGGCCTCAGTGTTCCTATTTGTGAAATGGGCTGATACCACTAGTCTTTGAAGTTCACACAGAAATGCATTTGAAATCGTTAAGAAATGCAATAAAGCAACATACAGATGTAAGGAATAATTAGCTTTATGTGCTGATGTTTTCTACCAGAATCAGTTTTCCTTCTATGAATTTATGGGAGTGGGAGAGGGAATGGGAGGGGTGGAGAGGGGAGGGCAGGAGGCAGGAGAAAAGAGAAGGATCTCTTTTCTACTGTATTCATGAAATCTTTCATAAATGACATAAATGATGGCCAAAGATGAGGACACTTCCTTTCAAAAGGAGACAAAGGCAATGGGTACAGTCCCCAGGACGATTTTCATGCAATTGCTCTGGGCACTTGTCCACCTCTATAAGGTGACTCAAAGATGTAAATTTTTCCACGAATAGTGAGGATCTTGGGTTTTTCGACCTTCTGAAACCACTGCCTTCTCTTGGTTTTTATTTTAAAATATTTCTTATTTCCTGATTATGAATCTATTTCTGGCTCATTGTAGAAAATTTGGGGAAGTTCAGAAAAACGAACAAAAATCACCCGATGATCCTATTACCCTTTTACAATTGGGTTTGCTCTGCCTTTTGTAAACTCCAAGTTATACCATAAGCATTTCCTATTAAAAATTCCTGTTTTTAGTGGCAGCGTTGATTTGTGTGTGTGTGTGTGTGTGTGTGTACACAATTGATTTTTCTCCATTATATATTTTTAGAAAGATAACACTTGAACAACTGATCTCCACTTTAATCACCAATCTTGCAACCACAGTTCAGCATAGCTTGAGAAGTGCGTTCAAAATAGAAAGTTAAATCATTAATGATGGTGCTAACCAGTTCTGATTCTTAATAAACTTGGAGGAAGTGGACTATAGTACATTAATTTCTAAAGACTCATGCCATGGATTTAATTATTTATTTAAGAATTTGGTGAGGATTTTAGGCTGATTCAGGTTTGTTGTTTTTTTTCCCCCTATTATAAGACCAGTATTAATATCTTTGGGCACAAATATTAAACTCCTAGGAGAAGCATCCCCAAGTCCAAAGGAATTAATATTTTTAAGTTTCTTATGTATATTGCCACATAGATTTCTGAAAATGTCGTACCACTTTATCTCCACACCCTATCGTTTTCACTCAGTTCCTTTTCTTTCTGTTTAGTCACCTAAACAGAGGAGAGATCAGGAAAAGGCCTCCATGTCAGCCCAAGCTATTCTCATTACTCACTGTGTAACCTTGGGCAAGTCGCTGACCACTTAATGAAGTCTTGGTTGTCTTCACCAGATAAATGGGGCTAGGGACACCTGCCTTATCTAAGGCAAAGATGTTTTGAGGATCAACTGACATCACATATGAAAGCAACTTGTCAAATATAATATTGTAGGTTGGATCACGTGAAATTGCCTTTTTTGTAGGTCAGAGTCAAATATTGGCAATCATGTGGTTCAACCTAATACTTTGTCATTAAATGGTTGGAAGTTGTTAGGCAACTGGCCATATATATGCTCCAGAAACCAATCAGCTAGTTGTGTGTTTTCCCAGGTACCTAGCTCACTAACCACCTGGTAGCTCCCATTATTAAGTATTTTTCTGACAATCTATTTCCAAGCATCATAAATGGATCCACAGATTCAGCTCTTCACTTGCAGGTCCCCCTGTAATGCCCAGACCCCTCACTTGCCCAGGTCTTCCCTCCCACATCTCCTGGCACACTTGCATTATGACAGCACTGGTTTCACGGCCTTGCTCAGGCTTGCCCTCTGTGGGTTTACCTCATCTTTGTCTTCTAACTTGCTAATCCTTTAAGGTCTTCTGGAACTCTTTATTAACTTCCCAGTATCTCCACTGCAGCAGATATTTATTGAACACATGCTATGTTCCATGTTTTGTGCTGAGCTCCAGAGGGAAGACTGACATAAAAACCCACCATCCCAACACTTCAAAAGATGCCAAACCAGACTGGAGACAGATGGCAATAAACAATTCAATATCAAAGCAGATGATGGGATAAGGGCTGCAATGGAACCACTTTTTTCCTTTTAAAATCAACTTTATCGAGGCATAATTTACATAAAATAAATACACCCACTTTAAGTAATCAGTCTGTGAATTTTGATAAATGTATATGCATATGCAACCTCCGCCACAATCAAGATATAGAGTATTTCTATCACCTCACAACATTCCCTGTGCCCCTTTCTAACCAATCCCTTCTAGCTAACCCCTGGCAACCACTGACCCACTTCCTGCCACTACAGAATTGTTTGACCTTTTCTTGAACTTCATATAACCGAATGTTATACTTTTTGTCTGGTTGTTTCATTTAATATATTTTGGTGATTCACCCATACTGTGGCATGCATCTGTAGTTCGCTCCTTTTTATTGTTCAGTAGTATTCCATTGTACACATAAACCACAATTTGTTAATTCACCACTTGATAGTCATTTGAGTTGCTTCCAGTTTGGGTCAATTACGAATATAGCTGCTATGCATATTCTTGCATAAGTCTTTTTGTGGACTTATTTCTCTTGGGTAAATATCTAGGAATAGAATTGCTGGGTCATATTTATATATTTAACTTTGTTAGACATGACATTATTCAGGTAAATTCTACCATTTGATAGTCCCACCAGCAATGTATGCGAATTTCAGATGTTCCACAACCTGGCCAACACTCGGTATTGCAGTCTTTTCAATTTTAGCCATTCTAGAGCATGTGACATAGTGTCTCATTGTAGTTTTTAATTTGGGAAAAAAAAAAAGTATCACCTTTGATTTATTTCTAAGTCTTTTTTCCTGTTAGGCATTTAGGCCTAATCCTTACTCTTATAAGGTCACTGCTCTTTGGCACTTAATGGCCAACTTACTTCCAGAGAGGGGGGCCACTTCTCAAGAGTGACTATTTGTCTTTGAGATACAACAAGGTGGCAGTCTCATTATAAGTTAAAATGTTTGGAGACCAGATTATTTCGTGTTTTCTCCTTCATACTCAGCTCTCCTATTGCAATGACCAAAGTCAGGTCATGAAAACTCCTTTGAGAACCCATCCTTCTTGCTGTTTTCCTTTCTAGGATCTTCCCATGCTATCACCATCTTTAAACAATAGCCTTGGGAAGGCTTGAATTGCTCTCTCAAGTGGACTCCCAAATTTTCCTTTTCTACCCTTCTATTGCTAAAGAACACTGGTACTAAAGGTGACTTATCCCATCATTACTGATGTCTACCTAGGGTCCTATGGTGACTTACCATTAAAAATAAGAACCAAGATTTCACGACTTTGCTTGAAAGCCATTTTGCCAGGATGTCCTGTGTACCTGTTAGGATGCATACCGTTGCAAGTAACAGAAATTAGTTTAAACAAAGTGGGCACAATTGCTCATGTAATTGTAAAGTTCAGAGTTTGCCAGCATTAAGGGCTGAATTGATTCAGTGGCTCAATGATATAATCACGATGACGTTCTTTGCTCTTCCTTACAACCACCTTCGTTCTACTACTGGCTCCCTCTTGTGGTCGCAATATAATTGCCAACAACTTCCTGCCAACATATTCTCTCAGAATGCAGAAGCAAGCCTTGAGCCACGAACCCATCCTTGAACCAATCAGTGTGGCTACCAGGTGGGATTAGGGGGAGCTCCGTGCTCCACTCCTAGAGGCACAGTGGAGTTAGCGTCCCGAAGGAGCTGGGTGGTGTGAGCACTGAATAAAAACGAGGCTAGTAAGATAACAGGAGGGAGAAGAGATGTAGGGAGGCAGCGATAAGGTCGGTTACGTTCTGGATTTAGTTATTCCAAATATTCTAGAAAAAAAAGTTCTGCCATTGGAAGATTTCTCAAAACGTACCTTCCAAATGGAATGTCTCCTCAGTCAACAACTTTCTTGCCGCTCACCTAAGTTTCTGAAATGTCATCACCTCTGTTGCCAAGCACCTTCCCCCAAATCCTATTCTCTTCTACATTCACCAAACACCTAAATTTATTTACCCCTTCACTGATAACGATATACAGTCTAATCTTCCCTAGTGCCCTAAGTCAGCAACACTGGAACAAGTATCTTACCTTCCTTCACGGCTGTCTGCTTACAATCACATTTGGCCGAACATTGCCAGAACTTTTATATGAGGACAAGTTAACAGATGCTTCTTAGGCTGGCACCGTTCAGTGTGTGCACCTAGCCTTATATGCCCGGATTAATTTTTTCTATGAAAAAACATCTTTTCAACCAATATAATAATTGTCTAGGGAACAAAAACATGAACTTTAAATTGATTTTCTGCCCCGAGCTGCATCTTCCGTCAGCGATTTTAATTGTGCTCTACGCAGAGATATTTTATGTCTTTAAAATCTTTAGTGCTGATGCCCTGAAAGCATTTTCCTATGAAGGGAGCAATTTAAAAACACACAAAAATAATTGATATCGAACATACTTGTCTCTGGCTTCTCTTGTAGTTTTCAAATAGTGACTAAATATTTATCTTTTGGGGCTGTGAGTTGGAGATAGCAATGGAGAGAGATGAATTGCCTAAAGCATTTCATTGACTTACCACGAGTGGGTAAATACATCAAATTAAAAACCTGTTCAGCTCCATCAAAGAAGTGCTGGTTTTGGAAGGACTGAGAGGTAAATGGAAATGGCGATCACAGATGGCAGACAAGAATTTAAGCACACTGTATACTACCCCTGTAATAATATTTTTTTAACCCCAGAAACCTATTCTTGTTATGTTGGCTGTGCTGCACGTGGCTTTATTTAGTGTTTTTTTTTTTTTCTTAAGAGAAAAATTAATGCAAACCTAGTTCAAAACTTCTAAGTTCATCTGAAGAACAGACACTTTGTTGTCTAAAAACTCACACTTAAAAATTATTCATGAACAAAGTCTCTTGGTATTCAAAAGAGGAAATAATAATTTCCTTTCAGTTAAAGATAAATGCTGTATTTTTGTTTGTTTGTTTTCTGGGGAACGCTCAAGGCAACACAAAGGGCCATGCTCCTGAAAAATCACAAATAAAGACAAGACAGCAATTACCCCTGTGTGGACACAAACAAGTCTTTATTCTCTTGAAATAGGTCTGTTTGGTGCTACCAATTCAAGTAAGACCTATAGTGGTAGTCTATGTAGAAGATATTTCAAAGTGATTTATGGAGCTTTTCACCCCAGAAGTTATTTCCTATTAATGCAGCACATGCATTCACGTGCACTCACACACACACACACACACACAGTGAGAGCGAGAGCGAGACAGAGAAAGAGACACAAAAGCAGGCTTCTTTCTTTATGACTGTTTCCAGATATAGATCTCTGTAGGTTACAGTTTTTCTGTCTTTTATGGAGCCTTGATTACAATATACAGTACTTTAAAAAACCCCACAGAGTACATGTGAGATGAATATGCCTCTGTGAGTGTGGGAGAGGGAATGATGGACAGAGAGGCAGAGCACACAAACTCGGACTAGTTATTTCAGCTTTTATTGCAAAATGAGCAAGTCAGAGGCTGTCTTGGTGACGACTGGGAAATACAGCTCTAAAAAGATCGCAGCCCTGATCATTTGCAGGTCTGTGTGGCTAAAGCTCAACCTCATGGCTTGCTAAATGTTGGACTCAGAGTGACCTCCTGTGTCCCCAACATCCACCCACTCCCACACACCTGTACCCTATATCACCTCTCATTCTTGGTTTCCCCTCACCACTACCTCTTGGGACCCAAAACCCAAGAACATTCTTCATTGTCTGGGGTGGGTGTTATCAGACACTGAAGGAATCCCAACACTTCTATTTAGGGGTAAACAGAGCTTGGATAAAGCATTAGAATCAGATAAACAGAAAGACTAACAAGCAACAAACAAGGGAGAAACAGTGCTGTAAAACAGAATAGCAGAGGCCACAGGGGTCGTGACTGCAGAGTGCCCGGCCGAAAGTCTCTTTACTGTCATTAACTATACTAACGTTTCTGTGGTTTTTTGTTTTTCGAAAAAAGGCTCGTGTTGAAAAATCACCCGAGATACACTGCCGCAGCAGCAAGAACCCTCCTGCCGAAAAACACTTCCCCTGAGTGCACATCTGCCTTGCTAACTGTGGTTCTTCCCACCATCTGATATCTAACGATGATGTTACACAATATTAGTGCTAGAGATTGGAGATTTGAGAAATTGGTTGGGTATTTTCCACAAGGCATGGTATACATGTCACTAAGGCCAGCAAGATGATTTTAAGGTACATGTGAGTACTTATCCTCTTAATAGTTATGCACTGATTTTAACAGGTATTAGGAAAAATACCACTAGCACACCAGAAACTAGACTCAGCAGCACCACTTAGGATAAGCTCATTACCAAGCTCCAAGGCCAAGGTCTCATTAGATGCTCTCTGGGCCAACCAGTTAGCCCATGAGAATCATGGACACCGATGATTCCCAGACTTAGGAAGATGGGTCTCTGATGCCACCCTCGGCTGGTGGCTCCTGGCAATATCGGACCTAGGCAGCCCTCTGAGGATGAAGATTTTCTCAAAGCACCCAGCTTTGGGCTTTGGCAATAGGTCTCCTTTCTCAAATCATATACATTACCCAGGATTTTGAAACATTTAATAAAAAAAAAAATCTGGCATTTTAAAAGTTAGGTTTACAAACTTGACAGCTTCTTAATATTAGCATTTATCTATTTATACATTGTCTAAGAAAATAAGGTCTATGAAGACATCAACAAGATCTTTAAGAGTTCATTATAACTACAGTGCTTTGCAAATAAGTATTTAGTTTAATTTTAACAAACCACTGTGAGCAAAATTTAACTAAGTATATAAAAACATTAGTTAAATACAATTCTCTGGAAATATACATTATACCTACAGCTGCTTTTACAGTGAGATTCTTCCCTCTCTCCCCCTTAATTCTCAAAATGGCAAATCACTGAATGGTCCTGGATCTCCAAGCTATAAAACTGAAATATGTGTTTCCAGCGTAGCAGATGGTGACCAGGAAGGCGAAGAACTGGAGAAAACAAATAATAGAAAGGGGGTTTAGAGTACTTTCTAATTAGCAAAAATTATCATTTCACCTTCATTGAATCATGCATTCACAGCATCCTTTTACTCCAGGCTTTCTCATTTAAAACTGCTTTATTGGTTCAATTACCTTCTTTCTGAAACAATTTCTGGCTATGTTGCTTTTCTTTTTGGAACATATCTGCAAAGCCTGTAGTTTCGCTCAAATAACCTCAGAGTGCTTGCTTAGGTGTGAATATGGTGATGTGCATCTGAGAATAGCACGTGTATTTCTAATTTAGTACCATGGTCCCCCCTTATCTGCAGGGCATACATTCCGAGACCCCCAGTGGATGCCCGAAACCATGAAAAGTACTGAACCCTATATATACTATGTTTATTTCTATATATACATTCATATGATAAAGTTTAATTTATAAATTAGGCACAGTAAGAGATTCACAATAACTCATAATAAAATAGAACAATTATAACAATATACTGTAATAAAGTATGTGAATGTGTTCTCTCTCTCTCTCTCTCTCTGATAACTGAGAAGGCTACTGACTAATGGCTAGGGAGCCTACACAGTGTAGATGTGCTGGACAAAGGGATGAGTTAGCCCCAGGCAGGATGGAGTGAGACGGGGCAAGATTTCATCACGATACTCAGAATGGTGTGCAATTTAAAACTTATGAATTGTTTATTTCTGGAATCTTCCATTTAGTATTTTCAGACCGTGGTTCACCGCGAGTAACTGAAACTACAGAAAGCAAAACCACGGATAACGGAGGAACTACTGCATAGGCAATTTTAGACTGGGACTTAACCTCAGATTGCCACAGGGCCAATTAACATAAATGAGTCGAGTGGGCAGGAGGAAGTGATGAGCCCACACGGGGTGTGTGGTATGAATGATGAGTGAGAAAATGCAGCCCCCTCTGAAGGGGCGGCCACCGCCCAGTTCCCACTGATTCTTACTGTGTGTTAACTTAAGCCCATTGCTGCCAAAGCTTGTGATTTTTACTCTCGTCATACTAGAACTTTAAATAGAGATTCTGAAATACAAGGATGTAATGAAAACCCGTGGAGTATCGATCAGCTTTAGCA